GTCTTTCCATGACGAGAAATCACGTGAAAAGGTCCCTCGTAAGGCTGTTGCAAGGGTATGCATACTGAACCGACCCGTATGAAAACATGCGAACAGGCAGATAATTTTCGAGGGGGAGCGACCTGTCGATGCTATATTCCAGTTGACACCGGAGGTAGTGTTCGCGTGTATTCAGATAATCTTTGGACGTTTTCTGATTTATTGCCGTTATCACTGCTCCGTGGTGTGAAAAATTCCTCAGACAGTTGCATGGTCGTGCTGTATGCCAATTCAGCCGCGGAACATTGAATATCTGCCTTTAAACTCATTCTGATGTCTAGGAGGACGAGCTGTACGGTTTCGTACCAATTGTTGTTTTCGTGTGCTCGAAGAGCACTTTTAAGTTGGCGATGAAACCGTTCGATTTAACCATTCAAAGCTGGGTAGTAGGCGGTAGTGCGTATGCGCTCCATACGAAGCAGCCGGGTTAGCGAAGAGAATAATTCGGACTCGAACTTTTGTCCTCGATCAGTTGTGACAGTCGAGGGACAACCGTACAGAGCTATCCATCGTTCTATGAGGCAGTGAGCAACCGTTTCCGCCGTAATAGAAGTGATGGGAATAGCTTCGGGAAATCTTGTAAACTATCGATGCACATGAGTATGTGATCATGCCCATGCGATGGTGGTAATGGTCCCACAATGTCAGTATGAACATGATCGAAGTGAGCATCAGGCGTAGCAATTTGCCGATAGCGGCGGCTGCGTGCATGTGAATTTTTGATCGTTGACATTGTAAGCCTTGCTTTAGCCACATTCGGACATCTTTGTTCATGGAAGGCCAGACGTATCATGCTGCGATGAGACGTAAGGTGGCTGCGACACCTGGATGATACAAACCATGAGAAGACGAGATGACGATGAGCAGAAGGTACGATGGGTCGGGGTAATCGAGTAGAATTGTCACACAGGATAGTACCTGAGGTGGTATCTAGTGGTACTTCCTGGCACTGAAGGGATGTCGATTGTTGTTCTTCTGTGTATGAAGGACCATTTGCTTGGTCAATGACCCTAGCAGGGAGATCGAGAACTGGTAATGTAACCGCATTTATTTGAATACGTGAGGGAACATCGGCAACATAGTTCGACTCGCCTTTAATATTACGAAGGTCTGTCGTGAACTGAGATATACAGTCCTAATGTCTGGATTCTGGCGGTGAGTAGAAATCACACTTAGTATGCAAAGCATACGTTAGAGGCTTATGATCGGTGAAAGGGATAAAATTACGACCACCGACTGAGTGCCGGAAATGTCTGATGGCACAGTAGGCTGCTAGCAGTTCGCGACCAAAAGCGCTTTATCTCGTCTCCGTGAGAAAAAGTCGAGAGGCAGCCAAATTCCAGAGATGTTTTGTTGCATGACGGCTCCTATAGCAAAATCGGATGCATCAACCGCTATACTGAGCGTGGCTTGTGCTAAAGCTTTTTTAATCTCGGAAAATGCAGTACGCGTGGCGTCGCTCAGTTCTAGTTTACGTGGATTACCACGAAGTAGATCGGTTATTGGTCGTAACTGTTCCGCGGCGTGAGGAATGAAACGTCGGTAGAAGTTGACCCAACCGAGAAAAGCCTTCAGTTCTTTGAGTGAAGACGTTACAGTTTACTCCATGATCGTACATAATTTATCTTCACAAGGTAAAATTGAGACGGCTGTGAATACAGTCACCCTTATTGATCTGAGCCTTCACGTGATTGTCATCGAGGTCTACGTTGATATGTAACGTGGACGCAACTGTGTGGTTGTCTCGGTTGCCAGTTCGTGCAATTACTGTCTGCCACGAGTGCAACCTGGATAAGCGTCATATCCTCTGGCTGAGCGGCGACCGAAGGCTGAACATGAGCTGGTAGTGATTCTAGCCAATATTCTCCGACGATGTCAGAGTCAGATGCCGTTGCACCTTCTAATGATTGCAGGCGCGTGAGGTGGTGGCTAGGTTTAGCATCACCCAGAGGGTGGCGTGCTAAAAGTGTCCTCAGTCGTTCCTCCTTAGATGGCAGGAAATTTCGAAGAATCTCCTGCGTGAGACGATCGCACGCGTCTGATGCACCTCAGTTAAGGAATACCTCTCGAACGGCGGCTATGTGATTCCCCGGTAGAGATTCCAGCACGTAGGCATATATATGCCACTGATTCGTAAAGCGGCGGATCTCAAAGTGAGGTTCCAGTACCGCAAACCAGACCTCTGGATCGTGGGGGATAAAGGCTGCAGGTCAAAAACTAAGAACCTGTATCTGTTAGTTGGCAAAAATATCGTCATTTTTGGATACATCTACCGTTTTCAGACGCAGAAGCAGCTGTGTTTTCTTCAAAAAGGTAAACTACTACATCTCCATTGTTGAACTTCACCTTATGGGTCGGGGTAGATAGGAGGTCTATATATTTTCAAGCGATGGGCTGTTATTATTTAATTATCAGCTTGCGATCATTTAAAACTCATTTAACTAACAGGCCTAAATATCTCTCATGTCATCATGATTAAGAATACATTATTTACTAAAGGTATTCACAGAGTCAGAAAAACTGTTCTTCAGAAATGTCAACGATAACATACTGGTAATAAATAAAACAGTTTTGATAGGTGCACAGAGAATTTCAATTACAATATTTTAATATTTCTTGAGGTATATTTCCAAATTACCTTTTTATATTATATTGGAACAAAGAGGACTTATTGACGTGTTACACTCAGAAAAACTTAGAGGGGAATTTTCGCTGAACAACCTATGATTTCCTACACTATGCTACAATTCTCCAAACATAGGCATAACAAAATAGGTGTGTTTCTCCCATAGCTGTTTAACTTCTCTAGGTGCGATCGAATCGTGATTGACTATGATCATCACTAAACACTAATTATGAACCCGTCACTGAGAAGATAAATAAATCCAGGATAATTAATACATTTGCTGGTTATTTCGTGGTGTCAAAAGAACACCAAAACCAAACCAGTAAAGTGGAGCGAAATTGCGGAGCCGTAAAATAAAGAATGGCAGCAAAACAAATAGAATGTTGCGCGTAAAGAATGTTGTAAACAAAAAGAATAGGTATACAATCACTGACACGATTGGTTATAATAATGAATGTTTATATTAAACCAATCGCATACTCTTCATAAAAGTGGAACCACTACACTTCATAGCAGTTTCCGTAATTCCTCCAAATGTGTGGTTTATCTACATTACTTTGACGTGTAGTTCCATTCACCGTACTGCACTATAGTTTTGTAGACGATTCATTCTCCTTTGTAGAGTGAGTTCGATATATAATGAATCAGAAAATGTGATTTCAATTGGTAAGGATTTCTAACTAAAAGGATCATTGGCTTCACGACAAATATGTGTAATAAGTAAGAAATAACAGTGTGGGTATAATCATTCGGACAGCTAAGAGTCTTCCGTTCATTTCAACGACGTAGATCATCATAAAGTGCAGATAAATTTTACTGATAAAAACGCGAATATTGATTTGTCAAGTAGATCCGTTGCATGAATGTTCTGCAAAGGTTCAAAAAAAGTGCTACTGACTGCCAATCGCATACTCCTCATAAAAGTATTCCACTACATGTGGATGAGGTAAATCAGAAAGTCTGACAACTTACATTGATGACGGAGTTGTAATTTTGGTAATGGAAGCAGAAGAATCAGCTTAGCTTGTTTCTAGGTCTTTCTGGAGTTTGCGGATATGAAAGCAGTTACATCTCCTATAATGGTATTTTGTTATAATATTGTTGCTGTATACAGACTCGATATTTATACTCCAGATATATATGTTACTCTATTGTGGGATTTAAATTCATCAGTTAATATACCTTTATTCTAAATATCCTGGCCAAGACCTCTGGTCACTCATCGGTACCAGATCATCAACGGGTACGTCGCGCAACGAATCCCATAGCGCTTATTCTACTCACTACTCCACATCTGGACTGTAGTTCAAATTTATATTCGACTCTTCCCATTTTCACTTTTGGTTTGAATTGGCTTCAGATAATCTCGAGCTGAAATGTGTTACGGGTAGAAAGTTCGTCCAGCGCTGAATATCTGTTACATCTTCAGATGGTACCTGCAGTGCAACATATCTTTATTTCTCATCCAAATTCCAATCAAGAAGGTTCTCGCTGATGGCCGAAACCACCAGTTCATGTTTAATAAAAACAGAATCTCATTGCGCAGAAATTGCAGCAAATACCTCCGTCACATACTGTAGAGATATCTTTAGTAACTGTCATTTGTTTGTAAAACCAACAGAATGAAAACATTTCTGTGAAATTACCGGTGGATGGAAATGCTCGTAAGTGATGACGAGCTTTGGAACTCAAGAAACAAGATAACTTAGATAAGCTTAGACAAGTAACAAAAAATTCAAGGTTGAGAGAAACTGCAATATATTTTTGTGAAAGTCTCAATGTTGATAGCCAAATAATAATATTTACAAGAGAACAATCTGTCGCTGATGGAGCAGGAAATCTTTTCGGGAATGAATGAAAGCATCAATAATTATGGTCAGAATGATGACGTATTTTCTCTATCCATCACCCACCGTAAGGTAAGGCCAGACTTATATAAAAGATTTCCATGATAGTAGTCGAGCTGAGCAGAAAATCTTTATTCTGAAAGTTTCCCATGCTTTCAACAAAACTGGTATCGTCTCATCGAACAGCTGACTTAACTAATACTAAAAGACTTGATCAGATTTCAGTAGGTCGAATAATAGAAGATAACCGATTATAAACAGATATAATATGCCATCTTAACCACTCCACTTAAGTTAACTCTAAATTTTTGAAATCCCCCTCTCGACTAGTATTATTTCAACAATGAATTTGTTATTGCTTTACTTTTCACCACTGTTTCGAAAAGACAGGTAACAACCTATTCTAGAACCGTATTTTACCTGAACTGTCAGAAAACCATTTGACGTCTCTAATGGCCACGTTACTTATGAGTTACTTGAGCGCATTGTTTAAAACCGCCACTGGGTGCTATTTCGCCGGAGAGGGAAGTATAACCTTTCTCTCTAATTGGCGTCTTTAGTGGATCAGGAATGCCGGTTGGGGATTCACAAACTCGTCTTGTGTTAGTTCACTTTTTCTTTAAATAATTCATACCATATTTTTAATTCATAGCGAGCTAGTGATCTCATTGCCTAAAGGAGTGATAATAAGGCAATCCATGTTTCGAATTCGTGACACAAGAGAAGCTCAGACTTGAATTAAAATACGTTTATGTTAGGGGTTCTATTTGTATATCTTAAAGCGACCTGGTCTTGATATAATAGTGCCTGGTATATTTTCTTATATACAGGTATATGTGCTAGTAGGTATTCCCCTAATTACATAGAATACATCACTGTATTAGTACTGATTAGTTATAAAATATAATATGGTAAACAGGTTGGGTGTCGAATAACTTAACAAAAACACCAGTCGCTGTGAAAGTAATACCTTTTGACTCAGATGTATAGGGTGAGACATTAATTTATGGCCGAACATAGCGTGTTGTATTTTGGCGCGAAACGTAACCGCTCATATGGTTAAATCATGTTTTGGCATCATAACCGATATGATGAAAACTCTCAACTCTAATTGCTAATGTTTACGTTCAGATCTGAACCGCATTCCTAATTTCTCACACCATCTGACCACTCGATCACTGTTGCATAGCTCAGAGGTCGTTCTTAATTTATAGTATTACGTTGTTTGACATTAAAGATATAACTTATCTCACAAAAACTGAAAAAATACCTGTAAACTATTTCTCAACGAGACTTCATCAACATCAAACATAAAAACCCTTGCAGTGGTATGACCTCTGCATCTGTCAACGCGATTTTCATGCCACAAAATAAGTGGGCACAATATATCACTAAAGTTAAATAACACTCATAAGACTTTAAATAGTTTCTGTCTAGCAATCAGTCAGGCGTTTACAAGTTATTAAAGCTCGATCGTAAATCCCTTTGAAATATCCCTCACCTCTTGGTGCGGCTTGGTGAAGAAAACTGACGATCAGTTCAGGTTACTAGTTAAATATGGCAAATCTGCTTATGAGGTAGTGAATCTTCATGGATTAACGGGGATAAGATATACAGCGTGTATGCCTAACCTCTCCCAACTTCGATGCTTGATTTACTGGTGTAGAGTAAAGTAGAGGAAAGCTAGAGTTTACCCAAACCAAAAGGATGCATAACAGTATTGTCACTGACTATTGAATTGACATGGGTTGATAAGTGCCGACCCTTCACAGCACACGAGATCAACTTGTTGACGAAGTGCAAACTAGCTTCTTGGAATCTGTGCAGTTATCCTAATCAATCGTTGGGAACGTGATTTGTTTAATAATTGGTCAAAATAATCCAAATACATTCACTCGTATCGAATTTTTAAATCATTTTGCGAATTAATACCTCGAATTTTATTGTCCATGCCTCATCTTGTACTACTCTTAGATTTTTCCTACTAATTTTATGTTTCCTTACGTGATGTAACAACACGTCCATGTATATCTCATAGGTGCTACGTTGTCTATAGCTGACCTTTTACAATAAGTGGCATGATCACTATGTGTGGATTAACTTCATAGTTATGAAAACCCGTAACTACGAGTATAAACAGCATTCCAATGAAGCTAGCGGTGAATGGCACTCACCTCCCATTGTTCGCTCCCTCCTACTTTATGGCTGCGAAATATGACCAGTCTGAGTAGAAGATATTGGTAGGTCACTGGTTTTCAACCATAGATGTTTCCGAAGCATTGCTCATGTATCCTGGGACAATCGAATAAGCAATGCTTTTGTTAGAAAACGGGTAATAGGTAAGGATGGCAAATCAGTTGAGGTCGCCGGGACATGTGTTCCAAATGCCCAACCATCGACTGCCTCGATGAGCGATAATTTGTGGTTCAGGGTTAGGTTAGATAAAAACTAGAGGTGGTCAAGCTGAAACGTGGCACAAATCCATGAAGTCACGGACAACTGGATTGAGTTATGTGGGTAGGTGTCAGCTACCTGGTTTGGTTCTCGCCAGGTGATTGTAATCGATGGTTAGAAACCCTGAATGACATGGCTTAATATCGTTTGCAATAACTCAGGTGCATTCATTCCTTGTATTCTCTCAAATCCTAACCTTCAGAATTCCTCATCACCTTTATCTCTTTTTTTTTAAAGTTTATTTCAGTGGATTCTACTTCTTGAATAATATCGTCTAACCCTAATCTCTCCGATTACTGCTGAAACTTCTACTACCTCTACTACTATGGGATTTGAATTGACAATTCGATCTGTCTGTGCTAATGTGGTATGGCAACTTGGACTGATGTACGTTTGTACGAAGTTCTACGTTGTAACTGACTGACTGATACCCAAGTTGCTATTCTAAAGTTTCTACATCTTAATTGTCGATCTATCTAGATATAAAAACCTTTCTATCTCTGCTGACAACTAATCATCTCTAGGTTTAAAAGAAAATACTTTCTCTTCTTTAACCTTGCGAAGTTTTTTCCCTCCAATAGTGTAAGCCTACACCATTCTTAAGATTATTTGTTGATATGGATCTAGTTTCTACATCATCCGAAAATTCTATCAGCGCTTGCACAGAAGTAAAGCTTCTCGTATAGTAGACTAGCAACCAGTTTGTCTAGATTTCGTATCTGTTCCTTGCCACATTGTTTGGGTTATCTGAGTAGTATCAATAACCCTCATACATTGTAGCTCAGACTGATATATAAGCCCGTGTTTGATGAATGAGTTATATTCAAACAATTTTATATACTCCATCCATTTGGACAATTCAGTTGGTAGCAAGAGGTTTCAGACAATCTACAATAGCTAAGTATTAGGAAAAAATTTTTTAAAGCAACAACTAAGTCTGGTTAGTATTTTAATATAATCTTGCGTATACTTTTCAGTGAGTTGATGTTTAGCTTTGAACCTAGTTGGAATCGATATTCAGCAAAAAATAATTGGTACAGCCATTTTGTTCATGCCTATCCGATAGAGTAAAGATTTTTTCTGATCAGCAAAACATAGAAGTTCAAACAAGTATATAAAAAGGTGCAACAGCTCTTCATGCTCTTACGTCATCAAGGACCGATAATAGTATTCAGTTCACACTTTGTAGAGCCAATATACCAGGTAGCGAATACATGATGATTTTATCAAAAATTGGTATAAAAGATTTGTATACAAAACTGTCTTCATGGAATTTATGGTCGAAAAATCTCTATTGGATTCTTTATACCAATTTACTCATCCAAATCCAGTATCATTTGCTACCCTTTAAAAGCAAATTCCATTCTTTATTGTATCTGGGCGTCGATCTTTAGAAACATAGACAAATGATGGAAACACATCCTTTTAATCACTAGGTTTTACTGTTGTAAACCTTCTGGTTTTACATTAGCAGCTGCGAAACAGTCTATAATTGTTGCATGTTACATGTCTCTGATATCCAGTCATGTCTCAGAAGCACTACATGCTTATTAAGGACTACCAAGTAAATAATATAGAGGTTAGGTTTAAGATACTTCTAAAAGGTGATAAATCAGTCGGTGAAACCATGAATATCCATCGTCTAAAGTGTCTGGGACATGTGTTACTCATTCGAAGCCACCACTTACCTCGATATAAAATAGTGGCTTAGTGGTTAAGGCATTGCGTTCAACCAATAGACAAGAGATTGCTATCTCGCTTTGCTTATTTCAGTCTCGTCAACTAAGTGGCATTACTAAACCTTATACAGATAGCGTAGTCTAATGGCAAATATGCAAACCTGTGTTTGGTAAATAACCTACTATGATTACGTTTAGTGGTGGCTAGCATACACGTCAGTTAGAAAAGTTTCTACAAGGGCACGGATTACCCGACTGAGCAATGTCTCTGTAGATCTAGACTGCTTGTTCATCACATAATCATAATCTGTCACTAAAAATCTTGGATGAAATAGATGAAGATCAATTATAATAGTGAATGTGTTTTATTCAATACCTCCTAGTTTTTCAAGATCCCTGTTTTAATCCTGTTAACTTTGTCTCCCCATACTGATGTTAAAAAACTCCAGCCGTTGTACAGTTCAACTGGCCTTCAGCCACACTTCGGTTACCCAAGATCTCCAGTCAAGTTGCATGCCAATTTGATGTGAGTCTTCCAACGCTGAATGAAGTTGAAAAAGTTATAGGAGTCTAAGGTGAGGGAGATCAGCAGGGCCTGACAGATTAATATCTGAAAGTTTTAGGGATGGCGGTCCAGTTTTAGCAGTTAGATTGACTGAGTTCTCAGGTAGAATCTGGGAACGGGGTGTGGTCCCATCCGACTGGTCTTAATCACTAACTGTCCTAGTTTATGATAAAGGACAAAATTCTTCTTGTGATCATTACAGAGGAATCAGTTTAACTAATGTAATTTCTAAAATGTTGTTTCAATAATAATTCAACGCCCAACTAGAGCTCGTGAAGGGTAGATTTGGGAAAATCAGGCTCGTTTCAGACTTGGGCGTGCCTGTATAGACCAAATATTCACACTTCAGTAGTTCCTAGGATACAAACGCACTTCGAAATCCGTAAACAGTTGTATTCCGTCATCATAAAGAGGCGATCGACTCTGTTGATCGTGAGGTTCTGTCACAGTATCTGTAATTGAAAAGAGTACCGAGGAAGTTCATTAACTATGTGAAGGCTCTCTGTTCGAGCACTACTGGTCGAATGATATCTTATGGTGAACTGCCATCAGAATTCTTTACTTCAAGTGGTGTTCGTCAGGGATGTCCACTTTCTTCATTCCTATTCAACCTTGTCGTAACATGCTTTTAGAGACGAAACATTCATCGTCTGAATTTTCTGAAGTTGATCTTCTACCAGCTGACTCGCTTGTTGTTTTAGAATATGCCGATGGCATAGTTCTACTTCGTGAAGATGCTGACAAAGTGAGGTCTTCTGAACACCCCAGGCAACAATACATGCATGTTCGTGATGCCACTCGCCCCCTACAAATGCGAAATGCTGTTCCGGGATTGGGTTGCATCGGCACCGGAACTAGTGATAGGGAGTGCAGCATTTAAGCATTTTAACCGCTTCACTTATCT